TTTTTAAATGAACCTATTTTTTCTCTAAATAATTTACCTTTTTTTTTTCCTCAAAATAATGTACCCTTTTTTCTCTGAATAAAGCACCTATTATTTGTTTTATGAAAAACAATTTTTTTAAATGAACCTATTTTCTCTCTCCAAATAATGTACCTATTTTTTGTCCTCTAATAATGTACCTAGTCAAACAATGTACGTATTTTTTTAAATGAACCTATTTTTCCTCTCCAAATAATGTACCTATACACATTTATAGGTATATTGTAAAATAATTTACCTATGGGTAAATAATGTACCTATATTTTCTATAAATTTATAGGTATATTTTCTATTTTTAATTTATGAAAAATGTACGGAAATTTCAATTACAAAGTAACTGACTTAGTTTTTTTTATGTTTTTTTGGTAAATAATATACCTATATTTTATTTAAATAATATATTTATATTTATATTTTTCATAGGTATTGGATATGTAATTTACAGATATTTTTTTTGGTTTGTAATTTTAGGGGGCGGTATGTGAGAGGGAATGACAACCAAAAGAAATGAGGTGATTGATATGCTATTAATAGGAAGTGTTAATTGCAATTATGACAGTTAATGAAATGCTTGAAATAAATTATAAATAAAATATGAAATTTGGTGGCAACGATGTAAAAACCTAGGAATATTACGACCTCTTATATCCTACTGGTCATTTAAATTTGAAATTGGGTTTTACACATAGATTTATAGAGTGATGGGTATATGTCTAGAAAATAAAAAAAAATGTAGGAATCTATATTGGACAAGCCCTTTATTTTATCATCAAGTGAAAATTGTATTCATAATCTAGCCACAAATAATCAATACATATATGAAAATTGTACAACTACAGAAGGGGTACATCAACATCATCAATTCAAGGGAAATATTGTCTTCCGACGACAACTATAGCCACAAATGGCCAATACAACTTAACCGCATAAAGGTAGAAGGCTTGGTTAACCCAAAAGAACCCAAGCTAGAATCCACCAACCTTTATAGTTTATTAGGCTATCGTTTATATTCAAACCAAACAAAAAAGTTCCACTCTACATTTAAGCTCTGTTCATATATGTATTCTTAATTTTATTAGACAGTATGACGTATCATGTTTTTAATGTCAATCTAATTACATATTCAAATAAGAATTCACACAATTAATAATTCAAGTTGAAAGGCTGACAATGTAATAAACATTAAGAAAAAGTATTTTCTATTAAGTAGAAGGTTTTCCTATACAACGGCGTACTCAGAGTCAGAGAGTAGCTTTGTTATTTTAAGTCCTCTCAAGTAACCAAAAACAATCTGATTCACCACAATTCAACCAAGAAGACCAAATTGGTCCGAACAAAAGACAGAGATACAAGAATCTAGAACAAAGAAAAAGTCTTTGGAATTTGGAGGGAGCTGAAATTGGAATTCTCTTCCCTTGCTTGGAAGATTGGATCTGGGCCAGGGCAGTTGACGATGAAATTTTTTTTATTTTCTTCATGCTTGGTGTCAATGCGAAAGATATGTGAAATTTAATTTACGACTTCATTTGAATTGTAGCCTACTCATTGCAAAATCGAATCACATTTCAAACACCACCAATGCAACACAAAATATCACAAGAACCAAGAATCGTCACCATTACCATGTACCTAGACAGCAATGACATATCAAAGTCAAATAACTTTGCGTGAAAGAAAAGAGAGCATTTTCTTGATCAACTCTCAGAGGTCTGGTATATGGTTTTCAAGTTACAATGTCAAACAGGTATTTTTGATTTGATACGTTCAGATATTTTTGATTCAGTATGTAATGACGTTTTTACTAAGGATACTTTAGAAGAATCCTCTCTCTTTTCCTGTAAATCATGATTGACAGGAAAATATGAATTCATACTTTCAAAAAAGGAGGCAAGTATTTTTATTTATTGCAATCGGTATTTTTCCTACTGGCCTTTCGCATTAAATTATAAAAAAGACCAACCAATCCTTGAGGTAAATGGAAAAAGATTTCTATGATGCCATAGAGAAAAATAATAATAAATATTTGGAATTTGTGAACATTTGTAGGTAGAAGTCTCATGATGACACTTGTAGACTAAGTCCTTTCTTGTTTACCAGCCAAAACTAGAAATACATATATAAACTGAGGAGACGATCACATAATCGAACATTCTGTGCACATAATTTCAAAGTCACCAAGATTTTCTGTAAAATAATTAATATATTAATATATTTCGGAATGAAAGCTCCAACAAGAGTAAACAATGTCATGCATATACTACGTACAAAATATTCGAGCTGTAAAGGACACTATTTCTCTCCTTCTTTAGAAGATGACAGTTCAACTACCTACATATCACAATTTGACATATATGCAAAAATAATTCCTCAAAAACACAAAAAGAAAATCTCCACACATATGTCAAATGTCAAACAGTAATCGGCAAAAAAGTAAAGTTCTTATTTTCATAAAAGGAGGCAAGTATATCTGTAATTTGGAAAATGCAATCAGCTTGTCTGTTTTCAAATGTGGACTTGATGTGGCTTATAATGCGTGCAATTAGGAACAAATGTTTAATGCAAATGTTTTAATGACACAATCATACAGCTCTAAAGGAAGAAAAAAAAAACTCTTCCTGCTTCATGAAACTTTGAGTAAAAAATGGAAATAAAGCTGTATACTTTATATCTATAGCACTGCCAGTAGAGTATGCTAAGAAGTTGAGAAAGACATGTTTACAATGCAGTACGTGGCTGCCAAGCTTCCACTACAAAATTTAATTATTATTCTTTACAAATATTGCGGGAAGGTGAAGGTGGACCTAAAAACAAACAGCCCGGAACCTTTTTCCTGATTTGGACCTATCGGCGTACCCAAGTGGTCCTTTTAACAATTAACAACTCCCAGAGTCCCACATATATTTGGGTGGGGTTGGTGATCTGAGAAGAAGAATAAATAAATAAAAAGATTTATTTAATTGTTAGTTGTTTACTCGGTGATCCAAATTCTAGTGTCCTAGCTAGGTGTTAGCTTATTTGTATGTATATATATGTATATTTTCAAAAAAAATATTTATATATAGTTTCGGTTGAGAGGTTTGGTTGACGAGCACCGGCTCACTCCGTATTGTATATTAATAATTTAAACATTTGTGTATCGTGACAATCTTTATGCAAAATTGCGTTGGGTTTCTAAGCTTAATATTGATATGAATTAAAAATATATTAAAAAAGTCTCATTCTTCGTATAGTCTTCACCCCACCAGCCAAGTTCTAAATTTGTCAACTGTTCACATGTAGAAGCAATATATATGTATACAATGGCGGATTCAGAAATTTTTATTCCAGGAGTCAATGTGTAAAAGGTTAAAAAAATTTCTATACAAAATAGATCCATCGAAATGAAATGATAATATTCTAATTCATAGTTAATAGATAAAACTACACAAAATACTCATTTTCATTATCAAAGAGAACTGAATCAACTTCAAAAAATAGACACACACTGCAATGCACCAGAAATATCTCTAAGAATGTGATAATAAACCAAAAAATTAGCACAATCCTCCACGATTCCCAAGGCTTCTCGTCCTATTCGACGTAAGAATTGACATGTATTAGCGCAATCCTGCTCATTTTAGGGCATTTATGTCATTTTTGAAGTCCGTCATTTTTTGATTTTAGTCTTTATTTGCATTTCTTTTGGGTTCTAGCTCTCAAACTTTGGACCCTTATGAGTATTGTCTTAGGGGGAGCTTATTTAAGCAAATATTTCTTTAATATGTAAGAGTTAGGTTATTCTTATAAAACTTTTTGTGGATTGAACATCTAAGGCTTTTTACCTATATTGATCTTAGGTCCTTTCATGCATTCACATCATACATGAAAAATTGTTTCGTGTAAAAATATTGGCTAAGTATAAAAAATTGTTTTTCAAAATAATCATTTTCTCAAGATAATTTTTAGCGCCTTTTATTCCTTACACATCAAATAAGAAAACTTGATTTTATGGGATTTTAGTATGAAGTATATATTGACTTAATGAGCCATCATTTTTAGCTTAAATCGTATTTTGCACTAAAACCAATTTTTCATATTTTGATTTGGTGGGAATTTGATTTTCTAGTATTTTTATTTGAATCCAAATTAGGGGTACTTCCTTATTTACATTGTAAACTTAAGTAAATGGAGTAATATAAAAATAAATGAAAGTAAAAGGACAAATGCGCCCTCTGAAGCATTCCATCAAACAGTTTGTGGGCAATTTGTAGGGGTCAACATCTTCAACTCCAATGATGAATTTCGGGCTTGTAGGGGATCAATTGACCCCTCTTACCCATATGTGGATCCGCCCCTGTATGTATATACAGAGCCACCTCCACCCGCCTAATGTCAAAGCTGAATATAAAACTCCACGACCATCACCAATTTAAAATCCACTTGCCCTTTGCTCTTGTGGCATATTATTGCAATATAATGCGGTAATTTGGATGACTAATGCGAGTAAAATTCTTTAATTTAAAAGATAATATTGTCACTTTGATTCATAGGCGACCAATTTTAGCATGCCTAAAAAATCAAATTGACAATATAGTTCTGTAAATAAATTTTTTACTACTAATCCACGAGCGTTGATGACGATAAAACTCTTTGATTTATAGGATTATGTTTGCCATTTTGATTTATTTTTCTCCACCATTTACATGGGTAGTTGGGTGTCACTAAATTACCAAACCTCATGCGCCAATGGCATGGCATTAGATGAGTATGTATGATATGGGGAGCCCACAAAATGACTCAAAAGAAATTGGAAAGGAGGTGGGTACTACGGCCGATCACATTTGAATACCATTCAAGGCAATCATGAAATATAATATTGACTATTTCAATGATTCTTTAAGAAATAGAGAATTTTCACCCTCTTGTGCATGTATAAATACCCACAAAACTTCTCAAAGGGAACAAATCACACCAATCTTCCTACTCATATTTCCAAAATCTCACCCTTTTGGCAAGAAAGAGAGATTTTGATTTCCAAGAATAAAGTAGAGAAAGTGGGGAAATGTGAAGAGAATAATTTTTCAAACTCCACCAACCCATTTCCTCTGCTTCCTGTTCAGTTGCCAAAGGAGAGAAACCAAACCCCTTCCCCCCTTGTCACTCAACAAACACCAAATAAGTAAGTTCTTCATCCCTTGTTTGGTTGGCAAGAAAAGTTCACAAAACTCCCCCTTCAACTAAAAACCAAGAATTTGGTGTTGAACCCCGTTGAGGTATTCTGTTTCCTTATTTAGAAACCCAAATTTCAATTTTCTCAGAAACCAAACAGAGCATAAAGCTATTCCATTTTTACTAAATTATCATTATTTTTTTTTAACATTTCAGAACGGTAAGTCGAAAATGGACGCAACAGAGAAAGTGAAAGGGTCACAATCACATCAGAGGCACCATAGCTATAGCAGAAGCATAAGCAGGAGTTTTAGCAGAGCAAGTTGGAGCATGGAAGAAGTGTTTGCGAATGCCTCGCACTCTCGGAGAAACAGCCACGTCGATGAAGATGAAGAGGCTCTGAAATGGGCAGCCATTGAGAAACTGCCCACATATGATCGGCTAAGAACAAGCATCATCAAGTCCTATGTGGAAACAGAACCTCAAGGACACAACAACAACAACAACAACAACAAAGTGGTGCATAAGGAGGTTGATGTTTTAAAGCTCGACATAAACGACCGCCAAAATTTCATTGACAGGATTTTTAAGGTTGCAGAGGAAGACAATGAGAAGTTCTTGAAAAAGTTCAGAAGTAGAATTGATAAGTAAGTTCGACCATGATTAAACTTACGTGCAACCGGGTGTATATTCCTTTTTTTCTCTATCTCACTCATCTCTTCTTTTTGTTGATATTTAGTAGAAAACTATTTTCAATAACTCATATTAAAACATTTACTCGTCGAGTAAATAATCACATCTCTCACAAATGTGGAACTCACTTGTAGTTTCACTTATGCTAGAGAAGAGACATAATTAAGAAAAAAAAAGTTTAGTATATTATTATCGCTCTTCTCAATAGGAAAAGGTCCTTAAAAAACAAATTTTTTTTAATGAAACATATGCAATGCGTATGCCTCTCGCACTAATAGATGCGGGACCCACTAATATTTGTGAGTCATGTAACATTTCGGGCTAGAGGTGTTCGGCCTTTAGAATTTGTTACATGAGAGATTGATGACGCATCAACAATGTCATCCATGTATCACTACTTAGATATGGTTAAGTTTATTTAATTAATTAATTGCATAGTCGCTTTCATACATAATTTACCATTGATCGCTTTCGTTTATCGTTTCTTTGACCTTGATTAGAGGCCAAATGGAACATGAAGATGTGAAAAACAAAAACTAGCTTAAGTCGCTGTCTTGGTGGGCATAGTAGAAGGCTTGTGATGCAAGCCGAATACTAATTTATGAATTCTATGTTGCGTAATATTGTGTATCTTTCATTAATTTCTTAAGGGACAAACAAATTAGGTCAAGAAAAGAACTTTCAGGCTGCTCTTTTATTGCAAAGGGAATCAAATTGGGGCATAGTAATTATGAGTTAATTAATTTGCTCATGTGTTGTAATTGATTTCAGGGTTGGGATCAGACTTCCAACAGTGGAAGTTAGGTTTAAGGATTTGACCGTTGAAGCCGATTGCCATGTCGGCACCAGAGCTCTTCCCACCCTCCCAAATGTTGCTCGGAACATTGCAGAATCAGCTCTTGGCTTAATTGGGATTAAACTGGCTAAGAGAACAAATTTAACAATTCTCAAAGACGCCTCTGGCATTATTAAACCGTCAAGGTAAGGTTTAAAGTAACTAATAAGGAGTTTATTCCAAATTAATAATTAGATGAGGTCATTAGTTATTGATTTTGATTAATTAGGGTTTTTGTAACTTTTTTTTATTTTTTTAATTTTTGGGTTGTAGGATGGCTCTTTTACTAGGTCCCCCATCCTCAGGGAAAACAACCCTTTTGCTGGCACTAGCTGGGAAATTGGACCCAGAATTGAAGGTCATCAGTCAAAAGACACTGTTAATAAAATAGGGTTTATTAGAATAATAATAATAACTTTTTTAAAAATTATTTATTATTTTTAAATATTGAACAGGTTAAAGGAGAAATCACTTACAATGGGTACAGGCTGAATGAATTTGTGCCGCAGAAGACATCTGCATATATTAGCCAAAATGATGTTCATATCGGAGTTATGACAGTCAAAGAAACCCTAGATTTTTCAGCAAGGTGCCAAGGGGTTGGTACTCGATATGGTAAGTCACCAAAACCCAAACTCAAACTCAAATTTGGCTCTCTTTATTTATTCATTTGTAATTTTGGAAATGAATTTCGTAATAATTTTTTAAATTATACTCATTGGGTTTTATATATGTAGAACTTCTTTCTGAGCTTGCTAGAAGAGAAAAGGCCGCTGGAATATTTCCAGAGCCAGAAGTAGACCTTTTCATGAAGGTATAAATATTTATAGTTGTAAGATTTATGCATCCAACGTCCGGAAGTTCGCATAGGAGAATTTTTGTTTAATGTGTAATCTAATTTTATTTTTAATTTTTTTGCAGGCTGCTAGAAGAGAAAAGGCCGCTGGAATATTTCCAGAGCCAGAACTAGACCTTTTCATGAAGGTATATAATATGTATAGTCATAAGATTTATGTATCCAACGTCCGGACATTCGCATAAGAGAATTTCTGTCTAATGTGTAATCTAATTTTATTTTTAATTTTTTTGTAGGCTGTTTCAATGGGAGGAATTGAGAGCAGTCTCATTACTGATTATACTCTAAAAGTAAGTATTTCTTAATTATTTCTTTTTTTATCTTCAAATTAAATATTAAAGTGGCGATAAAAAAAGAAAGAAAGTGTCTGCCTTGGTTCTGCTTTCATATTAATTATGAAGAGATTTTCCACAACCAAATCATGAAAGGCAACAATACCAAGTCAAATTTGTTTTTGTTTTTGTCAAAATTTTCTCCTCACAAACCTACTTTGCTTGCTGCTGTCTATCCAAACAGAGTCTTGGATACTGAGGGCCCTTCTTTGCACTTTGGTTGGTGACCAACCATTTTTTAATACCAATTTACTAAAACACCCTTTACAATGTCTTGCTAATTAAAATAGTGATGAAGCATGACCTCATGTAATTGCTGACATGATTTTTGATTGTATTTGGAACAGATTTTGGGGCTTGATATTTGCAAGGATACAATTGTTGGAGATGAGATGCAGAGAGGGATTTCTGGTGGGCAGAAAAAACGAGTTACCACAGGTCAATTCTCACCTTCGTTTTTTCTTTTGATTTTACTAACAAAAGTGGGGTCCTCTCTCTTACACTTTGAATTTTCTTTGACTTTGAGAAAAGCATGTCTCAAATTATTCTATAGGATCCCCCAATCTAATTAAAATAAAAATATTTTATAGGAATAGAATTTTTAACTATTGTAGTTGAAAATTTATGAAGAAAAAGGGACCCCTCTTTATTTTTTTTCTTCATAGAACTATCCCTCTTGAGTCTTGAAGGGTCTTTCTTGGACGGAAAATATTTTCTGAAGAGTAATTTAACTACTATTTATTATTATTAGTAGGCGAGTGAAGAAGTAAACTTGTGAACTCTTCCAAATTCCAACGATAAAAAGAGTAATTTAACTACTTACATGGTACAAATATAATTTACGAATTCCTTCATCTTTCCAAAGTTGTTGCTAAATCAATTCGAATACCTTAATGGACCAATATCAATCCTAAAAGGAATACCTTAATTTATTAATAAGTACATTCTAATGTATATTTTGATCATTCCGTTAAATTTGTTTAGGTCTTTCTTTGTGTTTTTTTATTGATTAATTAAATTTATTATCGTACCGTCAAAGTTTTTTAAGAAAATTAAAAATGATATTCTCAAATTAGGAGTCATTGTAAATTATAAACTAAATATTTCGTATAAACTTATGTGTTGACAAGCTCAAATTAATATGGTGAAATACAGGTGAGATGATTGTGGGGCCTACTAAAGCATTGTTCATGGATGAGATCTCAACAGGTCTAGATAGCTCCACGACATTTCAAATAGTGAAGTGCCTACAACAAATTGTACACATCACTGAGGCCACCATCTTGATGTCCCTACTCCAACCTGCTCCTGAGACGTTCGATCTTTTTGATGACATCATCCTTTTATCGGAAGGCCAGATCGTCTACCAGGGCCCACGTGAGAACATTTTAGAGTTCTTTGAGAGCTGTGGATTTCGATGCCCCGAGCGAAAGGGAACCGCCGATTTCTTGCAAGAGGTAAAATCTTGATAGGTCTCACTTAATAAATATGATAGGTTGTTATTAGTATTTGACATGTTGTGGTTTGGTTTGGTTCGGTTTAGGTTTCAAAGCACAGGTTGAATAATGAAATATCGTTGTTTGAATTAAACCTAGTAAAATAATCAAATTACACTGATTCATTTAATGATTGGTTTGGCTAAGTCAGTTCACTTTCTAAGCAATTAAGCAATTTTTTTAGAGAGAGATGTCATTCAAATACGAATACCTAAGTTTAAGATTTTATTTTTATTTTTTTTACATTAAAAGGTTAATATCAATGTTGAGATAAGTAAAAAAAAAATATGGCAGCTTAGTTCGGTTTAGACAATTTCTAAATAAGCCAAACTAAACTAATTGCAATTTGGTTCGACTCGATTCAACATTACATTTTTAGTGTAAAAACGAATCAAACATATCTGGGTTTGATTGGATCCGTTTGAATGGTTTGAACAGTTTTAACAGCCCATGAAATTGTTGCTAATCTAAATCCATAATTTTGATGGGCCAATTTTCCAACCCATAACTGTGTTAAACTTTCTCAGGTTACATCAAGAAAAGACCAAGAACAATATTGGGATGACAGAAGGAAGCAATACAGATACGTATCAGTCACAGAATTTGCAAACAGGTTCAAACGCTTCCAAGTGGGCATGAGGCTCGAAAATGAGCTCTCAATCCCTTTCGACAAGCCTCGCGGCCACAAAGCAGCTCTTGTGTTCACAAAATATTCAATACCCAAAATGGAGCTTCTCAAGGCCTGCTTTGACAGAGAATTGCTGCTCATGAAGAGGAACTCCTTCATCTACATCTTCAAGACGGTCCAAATTATAATAGGTGCATTTATAGGCTCCACCGTTTTCTTGAGGACCGAAATGAACAATAGGAATGAAGGGGATGCAGCAGTTTATGTTGGTGCACTTATATTTTCCATGATCGTTAACATGTTCAATGGTTTTGCTGAGCTCTCTTTGACCATTGCAAGGCTCCCTGTGTTTTACAAGCACAGAGACCTACTCTTCCACCCTGCTTGGACTTTCACTGTCCCATCTGTCCTGCTTGGGATTCCTATATCCATCTTGGAATCTTCTATTTGGGTTGCCATTACATATTACACCATTGGATTTGCACCAGAAGCTAGCAGGTACAAAATTTGTATGCTTCATTTCATTTATGTCTTTGGTTTTTCAAGAAACTCTGAGTTTGAATATGTCAAAATATTTGCAGGTTTTTCAAGCATCTATTGTTGGTATTTTTGCTCCAACAAATGGCTTCTGGGATGTTTAGGCTTATTGCAGGAGTCTGCAGGACCATCATCATATCGAACACGGGGGGGTCTCTCTCCGTGCTCATTGTTTTCATGCTTGGAGGTTTCTTAATTCCTAAAGGTTAGCATGAAACTGAATATTGAATGTAGTTGTCAAAGAAGTCAAAAACCTACAAAAGATGAGCACGGTTAGTACTTCACTGAATCATCAATGAGTTTGCTTCATTTTTCACAGGTCAAATTCCCAACTGGTGGATTTGGGGATACTGGGTTTCACCTATGACATATGGCTTCAATGCTATGACTGTAAACGAAATGTATTCTCCGAGGTGGATGAACAAACTGGTATGCCATACAAGGCTCTTCCTTGCATGCATCATTGATGAGCTAGATTTGTTTAACAAAAAGGTTAGATTCTAAAATGGACTTCATTGTGTTGCAGGCTTCAGATAATGTTACCAGCTTGGGTGTGGCAGTGCTAAATAACTTTGGTGTTTACCCTGACAAAAACTGGTATTGGATTGGGGCTGCCGCTACTCTTGGGTTTGCAGTTCTCTTCAACGTAATTTATACGCTCGCGCTTATGTACCTAAACGGTAAGAATCAACATTCCTTTTATGTCAAACATGGATTTTCTTCTTTTATTTGTTGTTTCAAAGTGAAGATTTTAATGATCTTGTTTCAATAAACTAGCTCCCGGAAAGCCACAAGCCATAATATCCGAA